GATCGTTGAGAACCGGCAACATCTGCATTGCTTTGAGAACTTGTTGGAAATGCAAACATCCAGGTCCACCCAACCATGACTGAGTCAGGACCTGCACTTAACCAGATTTCTTGCACATGCCCAAGAACATGAATGTTTGAGAAGTACTGCACAGTGTCACAAATATGCTCACACCACTTTTGTGCAATCATTTGGCAACTCCCAGATGGCTTCAAGACAAAGTTCAAGCTTCCTATCTGGTGATTGGAGGCCTTTGATCAGCTGCTTGCTGTTCACCCGATTTCCACGTCTTTGCAAAAAACACCTTATATTTTTCAGCCATGACAAGCCATAGTTCTCCAGCTCCCTATATCTTCCCACTTCAAAGGTGAGGAGTTCTTCCCCACCCCATGTGCTACCACTTCTCTACATATCTGCAAAGACATGGTTAGGGGTTGCTTCCTAAAGAACACGTCCTGGAGCTTCCCAGACTGGTTAAGGAGATGCTGTGCCCAGATACCTGTTAACAACAGGGGAACCACCCCCAGCACCCAGTGCCACGTCTTGTCTCTGGGCTCCTCAGCCAGACCCTCCTAATTTTATGATGGAAGGAGCTTTCCCTTTCACTTTTAATGTCAGCCCCAGCACAGGTCCTAGCATGAGGAAGATACTTAGTACAGGTTTGATAAATGAATGAACAAATACATATGTTTTTTTTATCATTCCTTGAGTCATTTAAAATAGCCAAGAATGCATGAAATAGTGAGATCAATACAATGACTTGCTCTTGAGCTAACATCTGCTAACAATTCAACTTTGAATCCCTGAAGATGACATTTCCATTAAATGTATGACAAGGGTACTTCAAAAAGTTTATGGAAAATCCATTTTATCTTTTAATTCTATTTTTCCATGAACTTTTTGAAGTACCCTTGTACATATGTACATGTATATATATACACATATATGTAACGTGTGTGTGTATTTCTTCTCTGTGTCTCACATTCACAAAATGACCTGAGGCCAACATCTGAAGAATTTAAGAGTTGAGATATGGCAGAGATTCCTGGTATTTGCAAGTTTTATTTATCTGGTAATTACTTAGTATTATCATGCCATGCATAAACTTGAATTAGAAATGTTTGCTGCATAACTTCCTGGTGAAAAGACTGGGCTACAAAGGTGCACTATTTTGTTTCAATACAAGTGCCTCTGCCTAGCAGCTTTAAGTTTTTAATCCTCAACGTTTTCCATTTTAAAATGGGAGCCATGCAGGTGTCTGCCCCTTATAGCTCCTGTGACTGTCAAATCAGATCAGATTTTGCTGGATCCACAGTGAGTACTCCACACACAAGCTCCCATGGGTATGATCTTACTTTTCTGCCTCTTGAGTTGTATTTAGTAGAATTTCTTGCTGTCACTTGAAGATTTACCCAAATAAGGCTCTGTCTTGGAAAGCATCAAGGCATCAGTACATCAAACACAGCTCAGAGCACTTTGCCACAAGAGTGACCAGTGGTACACGTGATAAATCCAAACATTGCATGCACATCAGGCATCACCTTCTTATAGCAGCTTCTCCATCAACAGGCAAGCAAAACTTCCCCAGTAGTGGTACAAACACCGTGCAGTGGGCCACATCTTAAGAAACCAATCCATGACCCACTGAGTTAATCTGTTTGTAGCCTATGCCAGGTGTACTTAGCTTTTACAATGAAAAGGGCATTCAAAGAAAAAAAAATGTAAAAGAAATATGCCACTTATAAAGAAAGAACAGACGCATAATTATTTGCACAAAGCATTAGAAAATACTGTGATATTTTATTATTAAAAATGCTGCTGAAAACTTTATACATATGTGTCCAGCCATATATATCTTCTATCATTACTTAAGGCAAAATCAAAAGCAAAATTGCGAAATAATAACCCAAGGAACCATTAAACCCTGCGTGCCTTTGAAGATCAAGAATAAAAGCCTAGGAAATTTTTTTTCTTATTTTTTCTCATTTTTTTTCTTTTTTCCTTTTTTTTTTTATAGATAGCAAGTATAATTTTTTTCTCATAGAACTCTATGAAGATTCTACAACTTCTTTCCATGTAGAAATAAGATATCATTTAAGATGTATTAAATTATTTTTGATCATAATCCTCTGAAAAAGCTAAAGTTATTCACTTAACAGGAACTCTTTTTCCTTATTCAAATATCACAAGCCCAACATGTTACTGTACATATTGCTAGCAGAAGACAATTGGAAATACTAAACAAATACGGGTTTTCACATTACAAACATACTGAACCAACGTTGATACTGGGCATCACTTTCTTTGTGGTTTCATGGAGAGCCTATTTGCAGTAGCCCAGCTGGGGTAATACATAGCTTGCAGAAATAGCCTGATAATAGCTTCAGAAAAATGATGAGTTGGGGACAAAATCTTATCCATGACACCTCGCTGCAGGAAAGGGGTGTTGTTTCACGTGTGCTAGGTTGCAATCATACGTCACATGTTTATATACAGAGCATCACCCTCCAATTTAAACCAAGGTAAGCAACAGGATTTACCGGGTGATGTTTATTCATTTCTAAGAATTCTCTTTTTCTAGAAGTCATTCTCAAACACTTTGATATATCTCTATGGTTTTAGTGGAGGGATTCAGTATTCAAAGAGGTGAGGCCACTGGACTCTGTTTACATAGGATGCCCACCTTAGCAATGACATTGAAGGCTGAGTTTCCAGAAGAATCACCATCAAACGCAGGGATATTATCTTCAAATATCTTTGGCTACTGTTTCTTGGTGATGCAGTAATTTTCGAAAGTAAAATATAAAATAACAATATTTTGGAAAGTAAAATATAAAGTTCAAACTATAAAGTAATCGTTACTATTAGGTTTCCTTTCATGTATAACACTCAAAACATTCCCTAAGGAAAATTAGAGGGGGTAAGAGGAAATGACAAGCCATTGAAGAGACAAAGCTTAGGTCCCACATCACCAAATTAAAATGGGTGAATAAATTCCACATATCTTGACAGTGAAGCTATCCCAATTTCTCAGAAAACCCATACAAAGTACTTTTAATATTCTATCCCTTTTTATTTTTTTTTTCGCCCTTCTTTCTGTAATATTCCTGGACTGATAGCTGATCCTCAAATTCACAGAAAGTAATATTTTCAGAGAAGTATATATTTTATCCCATAAATGATATAAAGGAAAAAAAACCCGCTTACTGATAAATAAGGGACTGACTGCTTAAATAAAAAGGAATGACACATGTTCTCCCTCAATCTGATTAGTGAATCTGAGCAAGTATTTCACCAGCCAAACCCTCCTGCAGCTGCTGGGAAACACAGAGCCGTATTTACTCAGCAGGGCTCTAGCCTCACCCAAGGCAAGCTTTCTTTTCTTTTTGGCAGGACCCTGGGGTGGGAAGCAACTCTTCCTACACATATTCAAAGGGCCAGAATTACAGAATGAGACTTGTATTTTTTTTTTTCTCTCGGCTGTTGCTCTGTGCGTTCTAATTTGACAAACTTTGAATACATTCCACTTTGGGGGGACGCATCGTTACGTTGCAACTTTATGGGGGCTAACACACAGAAATAAAAGTTTTCCAAAACAACGGTCTCCGAAGGATGCTTTCACATGCACTTGAGCAACCCAAGAAGGGAAACAGGCGGGCCACACAGACGTTCTGGGTGTTCTGTTGGACACCCCATCCTCCTACAAGTGAAATGCATTAGAAAATCCCATGTCTTTGTTTGTCACAAGAAATCAAGTAGAAAAGCCTCTTTTGTTGGGGAGGAAAACAGAGGTGATATGACTTATGTGTATATATATATATATATATATTTATATTTATATACATACAGAGCACAATGGAAAGCACAATCTTGCTAAAAGCTCTTTCAAACTGAAAACACCAATAAAAGCTTTTTTTTCTATTTTTTTTTCTCTCTGTGTGTTTTTTGTTTAAACTCACAGCTATATACATTTTTATTTTTACAAAGTTTCTTAAATATAGTTCAGGCTGGCAAAACCTCACTTTGCACAGAAATGTATGGATTTTGCTGCATAGTCTATTTTAATAATAAAATTCTACATTTCCTTCTTTCTGGATTATAGTTCCATATGCTGGGTAAAAGCCCATAGAATCTTTCTTCACTGAAGTAGAGCCATCCATTGTATGGCACATAAAGAAAAATTTTTTTCAATTGTAATTAAAAAAAAAA